AGGTTCAAACCAACCTTGAAGTCCAGTGCTTATCCTATAGCATCACACCAGGATTTCTAATTATTTGGCTTCACTAGTAAAAAATTGTCTGCCTTAAAAGAAAATTATTTTCTTTTAAGAATGATCTCTATGTGATCAAACTCACAACAGCAAGTTGAAACATTGGATAGGAATTCAGGAGACACTGAGTTTATGATACTGGGGAGGATGAGAATGGTTTTACAATTCAAAGATTATGATCAGCGTCACTAAAGTACACACGTAGCAACTATAGAATTGCTGTGTGTTTTAGCTAGGTATATTCTCAACGACAAGAAAACAAACACAAGTTAGGGATAAAATCAACTAACTCTGTTGTTACTGCCGAGTTGGCCCATAGCAGCCACGTACACAATGGGATAAAGCACTGTCTGTTCCTGAATCATCGCCATGATGGGGGCGGCGGGATCAGACCAACCCTGGGGTTTTCATTGGCTGATTTTCAGAGAAAATAGTCAGGCTCTTCTTTCTATCTGTGTGAGACTGGAAGCTCTGCTGATACCTGGGGACCACCGTAGCAACACACAAACCTCCACTGGTGATGGTACAGGGGGTGCCCTGGCTGGGACTCGAACCAGCTCTCCCATGTAAGGTGAGAAACCCTAACACTGGGCCACCACAGCCTCTACAAACCCACTGCCATGGAGTAGATTCCAACTCACAGCAACCATATAGGATAGAGTGGGACTGCTCCCTAAGGTTTCCGAAACTGCAAATCCTTAGAGGAGCAGACAGCCCATCTTTCACCTACAGAATAGATGGTTGGTTTGAACTCCTGACATCATGGTTAGCAGCCCAATGCTTAATCTACAGTGGCACCAGGGCTCCTCTTTATTAAATGAATTAATTCCAACAATTTCAGCAAATACCTGTAGTGAAAAATGAGAAAATTATTTCATCTGCAAATATAAGAAAGGAAGACAAAGAGAGTAAAAAGATTTGTAAAAGTGGATAGAGGTGATGTTTGTGGGGGAGTGTAGTGGATGTGGCTGGATTGTACATGCAAAAATGGATGAATGGCAAATGCTTTGTTGTATAGTTGTGGTGCGGAGCTGTGGGTTAACGCGTTGGACTGCAAAGTCTGTTTGATCCAAAGGCCGGTGGTTCAAGCTCACCAGTTGCTCCTTGAAAACCCTATACAGGGTTGCTAAGGGTTGGAACTGACTCAATAACACTTAACAACAACATATATATATAATATATGTATATAATATATATATAAAAAATATATATATTGCTATAATTAAAAAAAAATAACAAGTATACTTTAAAATATATATATATTTCAGCCCTCCTATTTATTAGCTTAAGGAGCTCTGGTAGCATAGGGTTACGAATTGGGCTGCTAATCTCATGGTCAGCAGTTCTAAACTACCAGCTGTTTTGTGGGAGAAAGATGAGGCTTTCTGCTCCCGTAAACATATACAGCCTCGGAAACCCTGTGCAGGATCGCTATGAGTCAGAACCAACTCCATGGCACTTAACAACAACAACAACATTTATTAGCTGAAGTCCTGGTGTGGCGCTGTGGGTTAATGCACTGGACTGCAAAGTCACTTTGAACTGTAAGGTCAGTGGTTCAAGCTAACCAGCCGCTCCTCGGAAACCCTATACAGGGTCGCTATGGGTCGGAATCAACTTGATGACACAAAACAACAACAACAACAAAAAATTTATTAGCTGGGGCCCTGGTGTGGCAGTGCAGGATAATGCATTAGACCACAAGGTCAGCTTGAACCACAAGGTCGGCAGCTCAAATCTGCCAGCTGCTCCTCAGAAACCCTACACAGGGTTGCTATGAGTTGGAATTGATTCTATGGCACTTAACTACAACAACAAAACAATTTATTAGCTATGTGAACTTGGACAAATGATAAGCCTCTCTAAGCCTCAGGGGTTGTGCAGAGTCTGTGTCAAAACAAATCAAACTTTTGACATACTTACTACCAGGTACACAGTAAGAGGTCAATGAATGTGAACAATTGATGTTGCCAAGTGTAAACTTGCCCTCAAGATACTGTGGTTCTGTTGGCAAGTGAAGCATTGCATATGTGAAAGAATGCTGTTATTTGTTGTCGTTAAGTGCTCTCGAGTCACTTCTGACTCATAGCAACCGTGTATAGAGTTTCTGAGGACCGACTGGTGGGTTTGAACTACCAACCTTGCAGTACTGGGACCTAAGATCTAGAAAAGATGAAATAAACCATACATGAGAGGCACTGCAGTCCCTGGCTGGTGCAAATGTTGAAGCACTTGACTACTAGCCAAAAGGCTGGTGGTTTAAACCCATCCAGATGTACCTCAGAGACTGTAAAACACGGTGTTGCAGTTTTGCTCTGCACACATGGATCACCTTGAGACTGAATCAACTCAACAGCCACTCACTAAGGGAGGCGCTAAAGGTCTGTCACACATTAACAGTTTCGATTTTGGATAGAGAGGTAAGTAAGGAAGAATGAAAGTTTTGCAGTGCTATTAAAATTCTGTTGTTCTTCTCTATCCCACCACAAAATTCCGAATATTCTTTGTCCTTTTTGGCTTAAGAATAAGAAACCTAACACAGCATGGTAATGCAAGAAGATGGGACTGAACACAACTCTTGGATTCAATGAATTTTCTGTTATAATTCTAAGGGTAGAATAAGCTTATGCCTTGATACTTTAAGAAGTGGTTTGCATAATGTAAGGAAGAATTGAACAAGAGTTGTCCAAAGATGATATGAATCCTACAGTTGCTGAGATCCTGGTGAACAGAGGTCTCTTTACTTGGGCTGGATGGTCTTTTGGCAGATGGAGGAAACTGGAACATCCCATGGGATGTTCTCATACCAAAGCTTACAGTTGTACATCATAATTGCAACTTTCTGGTAGTGTGGTGGTTACGAGTTAGGCTGCCAACCTCAGTGTAAGCTGTTTGAAAGTACCAGCTGTTCTGCAGGAGGAAGATGAGGTTTTCTGCTCTCATAAAGATTTACAGTCTTGGAAACCTTAGGCAGAGTTGCTATGAGTTGGAACCGACTCCACGCCACACAGCCACCACCACCACTACCACCACCATTGCAAGGATTCAGTTTGATATGACTTTTTTCAATAGTGTTGAGACAGAGTTAAGTAGAAACAACATGGAATCATACAGACATGTTTCAAATCTTGGATCCATAGCTTACCGGTTTTAGTAAATTGTCTTTCAGCTACGCACTCACTTCATCTATAAGATGGGAATACTGATGCCTGCCTCTAATGTTAAAATGTTTATGAAGCAAGGGCAGTTAGTAGGTCTTCAATATGTCCTGGATTCCTTTCTTGACATTACCAGAAAAACCCTGCAAAGATTATTCCCAGGACAGAGAAAGGTGTATGTCCTGTCCTTTAGATCAAAAGAGTTAGAAGATGGCTGATTGGAAAGTTGAGAAGGAAAATGGGAGGCTATAAGGGATATAAAATATCTGGTATACAAGTGATTATGTTGACCTCTAGCCAACAAATCTATTTTTCACTCTTATGAACTACTAAATTAGAAAATGTTATCACTGTTAGTAATCTGAAATGGCTCAATAGTCATAAATTAGCATGCTGTTAAAGCTTGTTTACTTGTACTACTGGATATAAAGGCATTTCATTCTCATGGTTGTTATTACATTGAATGGAAGCTCTTTCTTCACATCTTTGTCCTCAACTAGACTCTCTTTGCAAAGAGTGTTGTTTATTTACGCCAGGTTCTAGGACACTTGGCATATGCAAACCATAACAATCAACACCCACTGCCATTGAGAAGACTCCCGCCCATAGTGACGCTGAAGGCTTCTGAGGCTGTAACTCTTCACAAGAGCAGAAAGACCCATTTTTTGCCCTCTAAGGAGCTCTGATAGCACAGTGTTTATGAGTTGGGCTGCTAATCTCACGGTCAGCAGTTCAAAACTACCAGCGATTCCACAGGAGAAAAATAAGGCTTTCTGCTCCCATAAAGATTTATAGCCACAGAAACCCTATAAAGGGTTGCTATGAGTCAGAACTGACTCCATGGCACATCACCACCACCACCAAGTGACTGATGGGTTTGAACTGCCAACCTTCTGGTTAGAAGTTCAATGCTTAACCTATAGCACCACCAGGGCTACTTAAGCAACATAGATAAAAAACCCACTGCCATCAAATTGGTTCTGACTTATAGCAGCCCTGAATAGGACATCTGAGGCTGTAAATCTATAAGGGACCACAGAGCCCCATGTTTCTTCCACAGAGAGGTTAGTGGATTTGAACTGCTAACTCTGTATTTAGCAGTCCAGTACTTATCCAACAACACCATCAGGCCTCCTTTAAGCAACACATATGAGGTGTTTATTATTATTGCTCAATTAATAAATGTGTACTCGTGTGGATACCCCATGACTCCCCTTTCCAAAATACATTCACATTTGGCTTTATAATGTCGTTTATGAAAGAGGGCTGAAAAATTAGGGACATGGAAAAAGAAAAAACCATTTGCCCTAGAGTTTGCTCTTATTAGCTAATGTTAACATCAGTTCCCAATCTCTTAGTATTAGTTTTGGTGATTCAAGGCTATGTTGAATGAAAAGAGATCAGCTTGGCCTTTAAAATATATTCTAGAGAGTATCATTTGAGCACCATATTTTGCTTTTATAAAATAAAACAAAACAGATAAGAGACATTTTGAATAAAACATTACAACTTAAATTATTTCATTCCCTTATATGAGATTTTGTAAAATAAAACTGAAGTGGCTAAAAAAAGTAAGAGTCTTTGAAACATTGAATTTTTATATATAAGACAAACTTAAGTTTTGAACAAATCTTAATTAAAACAAAGGACTAACACAATTCTGAACATTTGTCATACATCTTATAAACAAGTGCGAGTTGCCTTAACAGAATCCAAGGCATTGTTCATAATGGATTTATCAAGATTTTATTTTTAGACAGAAAACAAATGAATAAAATTCACCTGCCAGAAGTCTGCCACGGTTGCAGGAAGTGGCCCTTGAGTTGCGATGTACGCAGGGTTCCTTGGGTCATGATCCATCTGTAGCGAAAAGATTATAGTAACAAAGATTCATGAAAGAAATTAGTAAAAATACAAAGGAGTAAAATATAGGTGAGAAAGGAACTGAAAAAGGCAGCTAGTACACTAAACACTATCTGAACACACCAGCATCCACACCAGTTTTCACTGAGTTCCCCTGCCTCATGGGCACCCTATATGTATCACAGTAGAACTGTGCTCCGTAGGATTTTCAATAGATCTCCAGGCCTTTCATCTCACGTATCTTTGGGTGGGCTTGAACCACCAAGCTTTCAGTTAGTAGTGTGTTAAACATTTGTACCACCTAAGGACATATTAACATACTCATCTGCAAAAAAACAAAAACAAAACAACAACCCTCCAAATTGCTTCTCCTTTATTACCCAGCATGCACTCAAGTCAGATAGCTGAGCACTAGTAGGTCTAGGTCCTGAAACTCAGCTATCATATCTGAAATGCTTTTGTTACATTAAAATTGAGTTTATAGGAGCAACCCCAACAGAAATGAAGATCAGAAGCACACATAAACCAGATGTCAACAAACAAATTCACTAATATGAAAGACCATGTGTGCATGGTTATCTCAAGCCTCTGGCGGGATGGTAGAGATATAGGGAAGGAGGGCAGACCTGGCTTAACTGGGTCTTCCTAGCTCTGCCTTCCCCTCCCCAGCACAGGAAATATGCAAATGATTTCATAGCAACTCTGCTAGTGTTCCCAGGGTCAACTACCTCCACATCTCCACCATAAACTGTTCATGGTGTTTACAATCATGAACTTGTTTGTAATGACCTTAGGTGCTGAGCTGGCAGAGGTTAAAGGGTGGCTCTTCCCAGACAGAGGAAGGGCACCATTCATCCAGGCACCACAGACATACTCTTCAGTATCCTGGAAGAATTAACAACTGGCATCCTGCTGCCCAGAAAGAGTTAACTCATCTTGCAGGCTTGCAAAAGCTGAGTCCCTGGCAGTCCCTGTGAGTGGCAAGCACTTCACAAGCGATGCGTCCTTGTCTGTAAGTCTCTCATTTCCTATTCTGTTTCTACTGTGCCAAACAGGGGGATAAAAACAAACAAACTGAAAAGAATGAAGTTGTGGTGTGTGTGGATAAGCTGATTTGTCCAAATGCATCCTGCTAGCCTCAGTAGGGGAAGTGGGGCTTTAAAGACCATTTAATTCAAAGACTGACCAAATAGAGCTAAAAAAAAAAAAAAAAAAAAAAATCTGAGAAACAAACCTTTGAGAAGCACAATGTTAAAGGGTACAGATGGATAGGGTGTCATTCTACCCCCTAAATCACAAGGATAGGAAGACACTTGGCTAAGATCTGTACTATAAGAACTGAAAGGATGGTGGTTCAAACCCACCAGCTGCTCCTCTGAAACTTAACAACACCAGGCAAGACGTCAGCTAAGATTTCTTCATTGCTCTAATTCCAACATTACTGAGCATCTTCTCGCCACATACCTTCCCACACCCCCAAACCATCACAGAAGATATTCAGGCTGGTGACAAGCAAACACAGTGGCGTTAGACTTACACAGACCTTTAGAATGACAGCCTTGGAAAGCGTAGAGAACAAATCTGCTTTGTTCTATAGGGTCACTGAAAGCCAGAATCTACTCGAGGGCTGGGAGTTTGCTTTGGGGTTAGTTTATCTTTTTACATCCAGAACTAGAATATACTTTTTGATAGCAGGTTTGGCATAAAAGATTTAAAATATTCTGTATTTAAGAATAATTACTAAGAATGCATTTCTTAATACAGTGAAAAATGGTAACGTTTCAACCATATATAATTCTGAACTGACACATGAAGGACTCTAGTTGTACATTTCCATGTCACCTTAAAACACTGCCTTGCATCTACATTTGAAGAAGAATCAACGCGCAGCATGCTTTCTGTAATAGTAATCTCGAGAAACTGTGCATAGCCTATCAACACTTTCTGCGATGATGGTTGTCAGCATAAAAGAATGCACCGAGTGCACCTTATAATTATGTACACTATAAAAGAGGGAAAGAGCATAAAAGAACAGATGTAAGTTATGCTAACAGAACAACAATGTGATGTTCGTTGTGGGATGCAGGGGGCGAGAACAAAGCTTCCCGTGCATCTAAGATAGTGATTCGTAATTAAAACTGGACCTCGTTTTGAAATTCACCACAACACACACACAATACAGGTAAAATTACGTTAGTCTCACAGAAAGCCCCAATTATAATGCTTCAGTAGAATAACACTTAAGCACAAATAAGGGGTTTTGATTTTTTTTAATGTGTGCTTATTGGGGGTGACAGCTATTTACAGAGACCCTCACCTCTTCCCAGCAAATAGATGTGCATTGAAGTATAAACCCCATCTCCTTTCCAAATGTGTGTGTGGTGTGTGTGTGTGTGTGTGTGTGTGTGTGGGTGTTGTTTGATTTTGTTTTGTCTTTGGCCAAAAGCAAGTGGGTAGCACATTTTAAAATTGTGAGTATGCTCGAACTAGCATATTTAGTTGCTTTCAAAATGAGAAAGATGTGATTAAAAGTAAAAACTCTGGGCAGGGTTTCGGGAGGATACATAAGGTAGGTTTTATGAAAGGTCTTACTTGTTATGGTATTTTAAATTACCTGAGGCCTCGCTTGTTCAAACGCTCAACACAGATCAGAAAGCCAGCAGTGTTGTGAGGAAGAGGATAAAGTAAGGCTCAAATACACTCAAACTTCAGGAACTTAGGACTTGACCCCATTGGCCTTTCCCTACTGCTGTCACAGAACTGCTCTCTGTGTAGCACTGTGGTACAGTGAACTGGATTGTAAGGTCAGTTTGAACCACAAGGTTGGCAGTTCAAACTCACCAGCCACTCCTATCCAGGGTCACGATGAGTCAGAACCGACTCGACAGCACTTAACAACAACAAATATCACAAGATGACAGAGAGATGAGATGTGTTACCAGCCTACAATCATTCAAACCATAGTTACAATTACTTAATTCCCTGCATATTCTGGTGACTAGAAAATAATTATGGACAGAAGCCCTTCTTACTTGTAGAAAATATAATGCCTTTAGAGGAGTCAAAAGAAGGCAAATTAATGAACAGAAGTTTTATTAAATTTAAGACTTCCAAGGAAGCAAAAGTATACTTAGAGGAAATCATGTAAGTTTCCACTAACACTATTCATCATGGAGACATTTGATTGACAACTACAGCATGGTATATGTGTGTCTTCATCTTTCTTCCCTAAACTAATTGGTTGCCATTAAGTTCATTCAATTCATGGCAACCACATGAGTTTTGCTGACGATTGTGTCACTGTAGAACTGTGCTTCATAAGGTTTTCAATGGCTGCCTTTCCAGAAGAACATCTCCAGGGCTTTCTTCCAAGGCATCTCTAGGTGGTCTCAAACCTCCAACTTCTAAGTAAGCAACCAAGTGGGAAAGCAGGTCTGTTCCAGCTTCTTCTGATTCTCATGTTTAATTGTTCCCACCATCATTCTCATTTATTTCCTTGTAATATGTTTTTTTTTTTTTTTTTTTGGTTCTACAATTATTTATTTTTTCTTAAATGTTTTATTGTGAATTATGTGATAGTTTACATGGGAGAACATTAATTTTACATTCATTCTATCGTATATCATCTCATTGCCATGGTTACAATCCCCTTCATGCATCATCAACCAACCAAAGGGTATACCCTGCAATCCTGCCCTCCGTACCTCCCTCCTTGTAATATACTTTTTATTTGTCTGAATGTTATACAAACATGTATATAAACTACATGAGGGTGGAAAAAAATCCCTCAATTTCTCTGTGCCTCAGTCTCAGAATCTGTGAAATGGTGGTTGGCAAAGCAAGTCAGGGATGTTGGACAACACGTTAAGGGCTATTTTGGCTCAGAGATTCTGTGGGAACGTAGATGTGTGGACTCATATGTGCATCTGTACATCTTAATTTTTTTGGTCAGTTATACTGAAATCATCAGTCAAAACCTATAAATGTGTTAATTTAAAAAGTCACGCTGTCAGATAGGGTGAGGCTGGTTAGAACTGAATCTCTATTTTCACTTCCGTACTGTTTAAGATGAAAGGAGTCTGCTTGTATAAGCACGTAGCTTATATGTTTCTCCTAGCACTAAGGGGCTGAGGTATCTGAGGAGGAAGAGGGGTGCCACCACTGCACATCTGCCCCCACCATGGCTGTCTCTGCATTAACACTGTGCGCTGGCAGACACGTCTGCATCACAGAGAATCAACCGTTACTCACTGCTTTGTGATTTCATACAAAATGAGGATCAAAGTTCATCACGACCCAAGTATAATTAGCTAGTGTCCTTTTGCTTTTACTATGATTTTTTTTTTTTTTCATTTCAGAAATAGAAAAGCCATTTGCTTCTGTTGAATCTATTCATTTTGCGACAGACATACTCATAAAGAGAACACCACATGACAGAGGACGCAAGTATTTGTTGTTATTGTTGTTATGGTTTTAATTTCGTAATTTGCCTTCAGCTATAAAAAGCTAACTATTAAGTAAGCTTCAGTGATTGGTTTCATCTTGAGCTCCACTAATCTGCATTAAAAAGTAACAATACTCCAGACAAAGATGATTTTATTAATAAGTATTCAACATCACAAGACTATGGGACTGATAATCTGATGCGTTGAATGCCAAGCTGTCTGGTTACAGTGGTGCTGAACTATGAGGCAGATCCTTTCCAAGTGAACCACTGCCCACCAGGTGCTGTGACTCAGAGGACACAGGCTCAGGTGTGATCTGGGCCAACCAGTGTGGGCGGCATAGGGGAGGAGGGGCATCACACTTCTTATTCTTGAATCTTACACATGGAGTGAACATGTGTTTGTAGTTCTGTATTTCCCTCTACCCACCCTTACACCTGCCTTTTCTAACATTTAAACCAAATTTTACAAAACATTTTCTTAAAAGCAAGGAAAGATCATGTCTCAGGTTTCAAAAGTGACTTTTTCAGACACCAAGTTTTAATAAAGGATTTTATATATATATATATATAAATAATAACTGTAGGGGAGCACAGTGACTCCATAGGGTAAGCACTAGGCTTTGAATCACAGGGTTGGTGGTTCGAATCCACCAGCTGTTCTGTGGGAGAAAGGCTTCTGCTCCCACAAAGATTTAACAATTCTCAGAAACCCTATACAAGGTCCCCATGAGTCGGAACCAACTCCATGGCACTTCACAACAATAACCACTTTAAGAATTAATGGGTGACAGACTTACTGTCAACTTGCATTGTTTTCATATTTTATTTTTGTAAATTGCGATTTAAATAAATAAAACCGTGAATGTAAACCCTAATTATGTACATGTGTATGCCTGCGTATAAATATATTCTGAGAATAAAAAATTGGTTCCCATATTTGGACAGTTTCTTATGATTATCAGGATATTTGACGTATCACCTTTTTCTGAGGAGTATATTCATCCTGGTTTCAAACCAAATACACTGCCTTCCAGTCAAATTCCAATTCATGTCAACCCTACAGGACAGAATAGAATTGCTCTTTAGGATTTCTGAGATTGTAAATCTTTACTGGAACAGATAGCCTCATCTTTCTCCCGCAGAGCAGCTGGTGGGTTCGAGCTGTCGACCTTTTGGATAGCAGTTGAGCATTTAACCACTGAATCACCAGGTCACCTCTTGTCCCCATTTAAATGAGTTCAATGCATTTCCACTGAAAACTTAAAGCATTTTTTTCCTTCTTCAATAAACAGTAGAACGAAGATGTAAGTTTATTGCTAAGCATCATTATGAATTTTAGAATATTCCTGGTAATAAAGCTTGTACACTGTGTTTGAGCAAACTGTCACATTAATAACAGTCCTCAGTCTGGGGTCTTCCATAATCACCAAGCTGGGCTTTTAAATGCAGCTGATGGGTTTCTCTCTCTCACACTCTCCCAGGGAAAACAGAATTTCCCAGTTATCTTCCTGACCTCTGATTTCAAAGCAAAGATTGCACATTATTTACTACTGGATGCTTTCCCTGAAATTTAATGAGGACTAAGTACAAATATGACAGATGCAATTATCATAGGTTTTATTCTGCACAGTCAGGGTCTTCTTGTGTTATAATTACAAGCTTTTCATTCAACTACTGCTAGTAAGGTTATCATTGTACTTTCAGTGATTTCAGAAAGAAGAGACACTATCGATTTCTTCTAGTCCTTTCTTACAACTCAAACTCGAAAAAAATGATTACAGTATGAAATAGAAGAAAATACAAAATGCTACAGTCTAATTACTTCTTTTTCCTAACATCACCTTCTGACTCAAGTCCCTGATCCATGGAGGTCTAGCGAGGTCATGCTGAATTTCTACTGCTGCTGTTGCGTGCTGTGGAGTTGGTTCCGACTCATAGCGACCCTGTACAGGGTTTCTGAGGCTGTAAATCTTTATGGGAGCAGAAAGCCTCACCTTTCTCCCGCGGAACAGTTGGTTGTTTGGAACTGCTGACCTTGCGGTTCACAGCCCTATTTGTAACCACTACACAACCAGTGCTCCTTGAATTTCTACTAGTAAAATAAAAAGCTGAGAATCGTCGGAAGTACAAGAATTCATGTCACACGCACACACACCCTCTAATGCTTGCATATGCGCGCAAGAGTTTAAAAGCTGTTGGATAGTTTTTAGGGATCATACAGTTTCTGCACCAAGTACCGCTGTTCATATTAAGACTTAGCTTAGCCTGAAAACAGTCAGAGATGTGTAAGCTGGAACCCATAAAGTATGGGAGACTTGGGAATTTTCTCCTTTTACACTTGAAAAGGATTGTTTTATTCTCCATTCTCATCTTATGGTTCATTCTAGAAGCAAGAGAACCCCAGCAGGAAGAAAACACCTTCTTGCTACCCCCTACACACACCAGAACTCTTTAGTTGACATCATTAATCCACCAAATCCAGGCCCTTATAAAATCCAACTTCAGGAGTAATGATGCCATGCACATAAATTGAGAGATTAGGAAATCACTGAGGCTTTGGTTTTGATTTTTATAATTAGAATGGAAAGAAAAATACTCAACCCATCACACTGAAGTTTAGAAAGGCTAAATTAATGGCTCCAAGTGAGAGCATCTGAAACCCAAGAGAAAACAGATCTTTTAAAGTCTACCTCTTGAAATGAAAGCCCTGGCTCATTCCATTCTTTCTTTAAAACACAGATTAAAATCTAGTCTCCTGTAAATGTAGACTAAGTGCCATAGGCCAACTCTTCGCTTCTCATTCACTTTTTCAAAGCCAAGCGTGCTTTCATTGTGTGGAGCTGTGATGTTTCCAGAAATGTGATTTGACCCATGGTTATGTTGAAGATTCAATAAGAAGCGAGATACAATGGACACATGGACATGTATAGAATCAAATAGCCTCAGGAGCTTCTGTTTATCATCAGATGGGTGGGAGCTGTAACATAAAGCCTAGTACGAAAGCAATCAAACAGGAGAGTCAGTACACTCCGTGGTGCACATGATGAGTCTGGAGACCACCCACTGTTTCTCAGGAACCATAACCTTCCTTTAGATTCATGACACCAGTGATACATCTTCCAGGGGCAATATTTGATGAAAAGTACATTTGAAATTGTAGTGAGATGTCTTGATGCTTCCTAGACCAAATTAGGGAAAGACCACTTCGATGAGGTGGTTTCTGCAACCAAAACTCCTCATATACACATATTCAATCCCTACTTTTTCTCTGTTATTGGGCTAAAACGCTATTAATCCAGCTCTCTTAAAAATCCTTTCTTTGAACAGTTTCTATCACTCTCTCTGCTCTTAAACCATCACGGTAACTTAATGTTGAGAAGTCAGTTTGAGTCATAACTTAGATCTGACTCTTCTACCTCTCTACCACTTGTGTTTCATTTCTCTTCTTTGTTCAGCCTTCAGTGGGCTCCTGGTTTTCCCTCGTTCAGCCCTGTCTGCTACCCCTGAGATTCAGGGCAGAGGAAGAATACTCATGTGGTGCACAGGAGAACGGGGAACTGACAGGACAAGAGCCACAACAGGAGTGGGCTGGTGAGGAACTCTCTGGAAGACAGACACACTGCCTATCCACAGGGGTCTCACATCAAGTGGGTTGGAAGAAGCTGCTATGCCAATTTTTCCAGAAATAGAAAATCTTTCACATCTCTTGCATTCCTCTAACTTGTCAGTTCCCTGAGTGAGGAAACAACACGACACATTCTCTCTCATTTTTTAAAGAAAGGGTTCCACCCACTGGTATAACCTGAAGGGAGCTAACCTATAATTCTGAATCTACCTTTGTGTCCTCAATTGTTTAAAAAACAATCCAGTTTGGCTTTTTCTCATCTTCCCTGAAAAACTAGAGGGATAAGTCACTGCATAAAAGAAAATACAGCTAATTAAGAATTCTTCTGAAAAGTCATCAGTTCTTAGTGGCAAATGATCAAGTTGCTGGGCATTCTACACATCACTAGACTTATCACACCACTGCCACCCTGCTTAATAAAACATCTGCCACCTGGTACGAGAGGTCCAGGCAGGAACACCCAAGAAGTCAGGCGGAGGGATGGAGAGCCAGACTTGAGATTAATTACCAGCATACTACCTAGAGCAGGGGTGGGGAACGGCTGGCCTGCAGGCTGGATAAGGCCAGAGAAATAAAAATCATTTGGTCTGGCCCTGCCAAGGCAACCTCAGTTCCAGCCATCACATTAGGGGTGAATTAATGAACAGTTTGACCAAATACAGCAGGCTGTTTTCAGTTGATAATTCTTTATGAACCATGAATGATGTAATAAACATCCAAACAGTTTTTGACAGAAAAAAGGTTCCCAACCCCTGACCTACATCATGTATTCCTGGTGTGGCACAGTACGATCAGCACTGGACTGTGAACCACAAGGTCGGTGGTTCAAATCCACCATCTGCTTCTTGGAAATCTTATAAAGGATCACTGAGTCGGAACTGAATGAACAGCACTTCACAGCACAACACCACCTAGATCATGGCACAGACTTGCTTTCCTCTTAAAAACTTTTCTTGGAATGTGGCTCTTTCATGCTGAGATACAAACCAAGAGCTGACTCTGGGCTCCGGCTGTATACTTACAATGGGGCTGGCGTTGATGTAGTCAGATTTGCTGTGGCTGTTTTCGGATTTCAGCAGGATCCTGGAGTGATCATCTGCAAGCAATCCCAAGAACAAGCAGTTAGATTTCTACACAGCCCTTGGTCTACATCTACTTAGTGAGTATGCTATGTTACTAGAATATTCTTCAGTGCCCTTCTCAGGCTGTAAAATGTCATTCCAATGCTCTCTTCTTTGGATTCTCCTGTAACTCTGCTGTGACTTCTTATCAATGTACTCTTTATCCATTCTGTCCTCCATTTACAACCCTTTAGTATGGTGCCTAAGGAGCTCTGGTAGCGTAGTGGTTATGAATCGGGCTGCGAACCTTAAGGTCAGCGGTTCGAAACTACCAGCTGCTCCGCGGGAGAAAGATGAGGCTTTCTACTCCCGTAAAGATTTACACCCTCGGAAACCCTATACAGGGTCGCTATGGGTCGGAACCGACTCGATGGCACATAACAACAACAACAACAGTATGGTGCCTTAGGACAAGAACTCGACCTCAAGGTTGGTTTGCGCCGCTAGGTTAACAGTTCAAACTTACCAGCTGCTCCTCAGACAAACCCTACACAGGGGTGCTATGAGTTGGAACTGACTCGATGGCACTTAACAACAACAACAACAACAACATAAACAGTGTAAACACAGGGAGTTTGGGGCAGAGGCAAGAACTCAACATTTCTACATGGTAGAATTTCAAAAGTATTATTCAAATTTCAAATACTAAGATTAGGTGTTCCTCTGTGATACTTTATGTGTAACATATGAAATACATAAATATATACACTATATGTATATTTATACCAAGTAGAGAGATTTGGTAACATGCTATAAATAAATATGAATATTACACTATGGGTCAATATTTACAGTATAAAGTTTTATAATCTAAAAATGGAATCCTTTTTAGGGTGTAAACAGTTAAGTACTCAACCACTGGCCCAAAGTTTAGTTTAGATTGGACACCATCAATCTTATTAAAAAATTAATATTTGCAGACACAAAGAGAAGCGATACATCAGGCTGTGTGAAATTGTTAGATACAGCATGACAAATATTGTTTGATCTCACTTACTATGAAATAGCTATCGTAAACAAAGGCATATGGACAACAGTTTTCAAGTGGTTTCCGGAGGCGAGGGGAGGGAGAAACGTGGAGTTACTGCTTCAGGGATACTCTTTCTGCTTGGGATAATAAAATATATTTTGAAATTGGATAGTGTTATAGAGTGTACAACATGCTGAATGTAATTATTTCAGTAATTAATGTTGTGGAATTGTACACTTAAATTTATTAACCTGGCAAGACTTTGTTTTATATATATATCTTACAACAATGAAATTGTTCACTGGGAACAAGAAAGGTAAGAAATACCTACAGCCAGAGAAAACAGTGTATTTATATGTAGATACATTATATGCATCTAAATGTCGTGGCAATGTTCTGAAGGTATTTATGATTATCACTGCCAAATCATTCCACCAGCTTTTATTTGCAGTATGAATAAAGATACACAAATCCTATGGTGGAATGGCTTTGGACTCCAGCAAACTTAATTCTTAAAGAGAATGACAAATTGGCAGTGGCAGGAAGTAGAAATAAAATTTACCAGAAAAATTGGTCAACTCTGACATCCTGACCCCTTAGAAAACACAACCACACACACAAAATGAAGCTCAAGAATCTCAATTTCACAGTGTGATGCCACATGGACACATCAAAGCGAGAGACATATATTTGACTCGGAAGTAGGTACCCTTGTCTAAAGGGGTGCACTGGGCCTATTATTTCCACTTGCATGAAATTGTGGAATGAAAGAGTAAGACTTCTAGCTGCTTCCAGAGGGGCTCCAGGAACCCTGCGCCTCATTATAAATATTTTCAACACCGATAACTTTGGGCACTTGTGATAGTGGCAACCAGGGACTGCTCCTGATTGTCTGAAAAGCCTTTACAAAGAGCAGGGTCACCCGCTAAAGAAAGGGAAACCAGGGGATGAGGAAGCAGAATTACAGCTAGCAAATTCCTGACTTCAGGAGTTGCATGTTTTGAATGTGTTAAATGCAGCCAGAAACAAGCCATCCCTCCTTGTGGGCTGAATAGGCACTTAGAGAAAGGCCAGGCTTTTGAGAGCTGCCTGCTTGGTGGGTCTCATCACAAAGGACCTGTGAGGCATTGCTTTGAATGCAATAAATAGTACTGAGATGGTGGCATCAGCAGGACCTTCTGATTGGAAATTTAGGAAAATGGTTTACAAGTCTGAGAAGTCTTACTGAAATAAAAACGCAACTTTAGGACATGGTATTCTGAGTGTGGCGCTCTGGGTTAATGCGCCAGACTGCTGAGCTGTTTGAACTGCAGTGTCGGTGGTTCAAGCTCACCAGCTGCTCCTTGGAATCCCTATACAAGGTCACTATGAGTTGAAACTGACTCAACAGCACTTAACAACAACAACAACAGTTCTGAGTGTAGATAGGGACAAACTGCCCGGTGCACCTGAACCTGAGTTTGTGCTATTGATTTTAACCTGTTGGGAAGTCCATAGAATCGCTAAAGTATCTCTTCTTTGAGAAGTATTTTATAAGTTGTATTTGTTTCCACTTCTGTTGTCCTTTTAAAGATGGGATGGTAACCCTTGGATGATACGAATGCTAATGTGCTTGATGGATAACTGGAAAGTTGGCGGTTGGAGTCTGTCCAGAGGCACCTCATAAGAAAGGCTTGTTGATCTTCTTCTAAAAATTCAGTCATTGAAACTGTATGTAGTATCGTTCTATTCTAACACATATGGGATCACCCTGAGTATAAATCAACTCAAGAGCAGTTAGCTTGGTTTGAGTCTAGGACAGAATTTCAAAAACTTTGGAGTTCTCCTATCTCGGTACTCTGCATTTGTTTGATTATAAAGTTCACATCAAAGGTGCATTGTAGCCCTTGTGCGCCAAGCTTCCGAGGCTGCCTGACACCCGACTGTCACCATGAAGTTCAACCCCTTCGTGACCTCAGACTGCAGTAAGAACCGCAACTGCCACTTCAATGCTCCCTGGCACGTGCGCTGGAAGATCATGTCATCCCCGTTGTCCAAGGAGCTGCTGGCAGCAGTATAATGTGGGCTCCATGCCCATCCTCAAGGACGACGAGGTCCAGGTGGTTAGAGGACAATACAAAGGTCAGCATATTGGCAAGGTAGTCCAGGTGTACAGAAAGAAGTATGTCATCTACATCGAGAGGGTGCAGCATGAGAAGGCTAATGGGACAACTGTCCATGTGGGCATTCACCTGAGCAAGGTGGTTATCACCAGACTCAAACTGGACAAAGATGGGAGAAAAAATTCTTGACCACAAAGCCAAATCTCTACAAGTTGGAAAAGACAAAGGCAAATCCAAGGAAGAACTTACTGAGAAAATGCAAGAATGAATACAACCTGTCATGGAAGCACAGGTTAACCCTAGATTTCTAGCCTAGTATGTGTTCCTTGGAAACTCTTCCAGATGACCTTGGACTATTTCATTTCCATCTTATTCTGTTATTGATGTATGGCTCTGTAAATCTTTCTTTGCAGCTTTGATTACCAATATTATGAATAAAAATTGAAAATGTTTCCTAAAAAAAAGAAAAGGTACATAGTATTTAATAATGGGCTACTTTGAAGCTTGATTTGAAATAACTAGAGATACCCTGGAAGGGTCAGAGTTAGGGAAGGAGTAATCATGAAACAGGTGGAGAAGATTCTCATTCTCTTGGACACTTTTTTTTCTTACATTTTTAAAATATGAATTGAGGAATGGTTTACAGAGCAGGTCCAGCTTCCATTGCACAATTCACCTCACTGACTGCAACCTCCACAATGCATCTACGTCTTCCCTGTGGATCCTGTTTGCAATCCTCTCTTCTGAACTTTGTCCTTGGGATAATGCTGCCCTTTTGATCTCATGTGGTTGATTCTTTAAAAGCGTGTATACCTCCATATTGTTATTATTCTCCTTATAGCCCTACCTGTCTATTGTTTGACTGAAAACTGAGTCATGATGGTGACGTCATTTTCAAACCTGAAGAGTGACTAAAGGCCGTAGACTCAGGGGTCCCACCAGTCTGGTCTTTGATATGTTTTTGAGTTTTGTTCCACAATTTTTGCTCATTCTATCCCAGATCTTCTAGCATGATCCCTTACAGAGCACCTGGCACCATCTAGTTCTGGTGGAGACTGAAGTTCACACACTCCATTAGTCCAACTGGACTAATTGTTTCCACATATCTTTGAATTTCTTCGCTTTTCTTTCTTCCAGAAAGGAGAGACCAGTAGTTGCACCTGAGATGGCTGCTCACAAACTTTTAAAAGCTCAGTTGCTACTCACCACAGTAGGATGTAGAAATTGTCTATGTGAACTAGGCTATGGTAATTGCCCTTGGTGCTGGACAAATCTCATAATTATTTTGTGTATTTCATATATTCAGTAGATAGAAGCACAGGGTTAAATCCCCGCGTTGCCACTTACTGTTATTACCATTGACCACTGAGTTGACTCTGACAATTGCCTACCTTGTGTGTTATTGTTGTTGTTGTTAACTGCCGCTGAGTCGTTTCCGACTCATAGCAGCCATGTATAGTTTCCAAGGAGCGGCTAGTCAGTTTGAACTGCTGACCTTGCGGTTCAAACTGACTCTGTGGTCCAATGCTTATCCTACAGTACCACACCAGGACTGTCTCTCTCTATATCCTTCACTGTAATGCCTGGCATATGACAAGGAATTTAGAATCAAGTTTAAGATGATCGATGGACATATACTTTACTGAGTAAAATTTACTTGAATTGGTAAAACTTATTCATGGTACATTCTGTTGTTAGTAAGTTTAAAATGATGTTTATCAATACTAACTGAAGAAACAGTTTCAGAATTCTTCCTGATAATTCCTAGGACAAAGAATTCTTGAAAGAGTCAAACTACAGCGCTTTGCAGAGCACTGAAACTTGGTCACAAACTGATTCATCCTAATATGTGTCATAACCAAGAGTCCTCTCATGTTCCATGCAAACACATATAAGGAAGTAA